TAAATTATACACAATAAATACTAAATAGACAAAAATAAAGTCAATAAAAAACAAAATCGTCCCATAACCCACCCCCCTCTCCACACTCATCTCACACAAAATATTATAATGCATTTTTATTGTTAATATTATAATGTATAACTACAATATATGTGCAAGGTTTCCCTTTGCCAGTGAGCTTGTATTGAATATGTGTGAGATAAAGAAGGGTTTCAGAGATAAAAATTGATTAACCTCAAACCCCCATGGGACTGTCCATTTTATGATAGTGACATGATAGTGAAAACACGAGAGCATCAGTTGTAGGGAATTCCCACATACAAATCAGGCATACGTTTTGCACAAGGTTAAAGGTTCAGGTGCCATATTATCAGGTTGTTTAAAACAATTTTTTTTAAAAAGTCATTTTAAATCTACCACTATTGTAAAACCAAATAACACCTCTAAATCATTAACATTATCCTGTTTGATATATATGAATCTGATTATGATATAATTTTGTATTTAAGTTATCAGGAATATACCATATCTTAAAGGTGCACTATGTAACTTTTTGGTTGGGGATCCTTCACCTGCTTGTTGGAGATGTCACTGCTTTGCCTGGAATGTTCCACAGTATGACATGAAACAGCTTTACCTTAGATTTATTCAATTACAAGTGGGTTTATAGTTCCTAAATACTTACAAAAACAAACATTCTGACTGTGAGGAGGGTTGCCTCACTGCAGATCTGACCTGTTACTTGGCCTGGTTTAGTCTCCATGAAGATAGACAAGTTTAATACCATAGTGTGAAACATTCTAGACAAAGCAATAACATCTCCACTAGTAAAGCATTTGACAGGCCCTCTATCAGAAAACTTACACACTGCACCTTTAAGCTGTAACAGTCCCATAAAATGAAGAAAAAATACATTTAATGTATGTTTTTGAAATGAATGACCTACTCTATGCTGACCATGCAATCCATTTATCCATGGTTGAGACTTGTACATGTTGTTTCTTCTGTATGTGAACTTTGTTTATTAAGTCAATCTACAGCCATTTTTATGATTGAAATTATATCTTGGTTCACATTTGGTGGCATTTTGATTAACTACTGTATTTTGTATTTTTTCATGGTAGTGAATAGTAGTAAATTTAAGTCAGAAGTTTTTAACCAGCTTCTCGAGTCTCTGTGTTTCTTATGAGAGGACCCATTGTATTGGCTGTTATATTTAATAGGAATAAATAGCATTCAGTGTTGGAAAAAGAAGAGATGCGCTCTCAAGGCCACAGAGAACGTCTCCGGGGCATCTGACTTAACCAGATAAATGATGTTGCAGTAGACACAGACTGCATTATTGTCCGTAGCCTGCAGACAACCTTTCGCATATTTTCTTATTGGGTTGATGTAGCTTTGAGACTCAGTGTCTCTTGTGGACACACATACACGGAGGCAGATTACCAACACATCCTCATGCCCTTTATAACCGTGAATTGACCTATTGACCCAGTGTGCGGTGCCATTTACATTTGCTCACGAGTCATACGCCACACTCTGTACACTGAGGGAGATGGAGAGCTGCTGACAGACTCCCAAACCCGTTCCATATAAGTTTAGGTGTGCATGGTGTTGACCCCACAGACTAACTGGCTCTGAGCTAATTGAGTAGAGTGTGTGGCCCCGTGCGTCCCTGCTCTGACCCCTCTGTAGCCAGGGACACCACTGAGCCCGGGCTTTGATACATTTGATACGGTTTAAGCAAGGAATGAAGACCTAAGCCTGTTTACATGTGAACTGGATTAGTGTTGGGGTGACAGTGTAGTAACAAGTGAGACACGAGTGAGAGAGGGGCAAAGAAGTGTTCAGTTTGAGGTATAGCTCATAAAACACTGGGTCTGCGATGTCAAACTTTGCCAAGGTAATCAAAATAGGCATACTGTATTATAGAGCTAGAAGATACAATTTCATTTCCCCCCCTCATATTTTATGAATTTTCCATACTTTGTGAGCGCATGCAAGGAAAAATGGTTGGTGGGGTAGACCTAAGAAAAGGAGACATTTCTGTGATTTGTGTGCTAGTGCATCATGTGAATAACATTTAAAGGTGCACTATGTAACATTTTGCTTGGGGATCTGTCACCTGCTTATTTCTTTGGAGTTGTTACTGCTTTGCCTTGAATGTTCCACAGTATGACATTAAAGAGCTCTATTTTAGATTTTACATTACAGGTAGTTTTATAGCTCAAAAATATTTAGAAGAAGCAAGAAGATTTAATATAGGTTTAATGTCATACTGTGAAACTTTCCAGACAAAGAAATAACATCTCCACTGAGTAAAGCATTTGAAGGGCCGTCCATCAGAAAAGTTACATAAATACATTTTGGATTTTTTATACTGAAAAGTAATTTTCAACTTGGAAATTATAATTACTAATATTAGGATAAACTACAATTGAGTGTTACCATGGCCTAACTGTTGTCATTTGAGGTTCCTTGTACTTTTCACTTTTAATTGCAAGTATATTAATTATTTTGCAGCAATGACTGTAGCCTAGTTGAAAGTAGTACCAATTCCAATCTAGTCTATCCATTCTATTGGCCTGGCTTTATTGTTTCTGTACAATTCCAGTGATACGGTTAGATTCCCACAAGCTTTGTGTGTTGACTGCAATGTATACAGCCCAGCAAGTAATTGAGTTGAATGTTGTTTATTATGGGTATCATGCTATTATGCATGAGTAAAATGAGTCCATGCACATTATTGTAATAGGGTGAATGAAAACAGGAGAAATCGGATACCTGTCTATGTGTCTCACTCTTTCTCTCACTGGTCGCCTGTAGCCCCCCATCATGCATCATTCTCTCCCTTTTTCCTGGAGTAATGATTTGATGTTGCTAATGGCTTCCTAAATTTTGTAGAAAGGGCAGAGTCGGAGCTGTCTAGAGTTACAGAAGTTGGAGGTCTGCCAGACAAGGAGGGAAGACAAGGCGACTGGTGGGGGCTTTCAATGGAGCCAGGCCTGAGTCATTTCTCTAGGTAAAGGATCAAGGAGTTTTCAAGTTTCAAGGGTGTTAACCTTGTAATTGTGTCTCAAGAAGTAACTATTAATATTTCCTGTCATCCGTGTGCAAAAGAGTGAAATTCCCTTAATAAATCAAATGCTTGTTTTTCTTAGAAATCAGGTAACAGAGTCACTAGGGACAAGCCATGTAAATCTTGAAAAAACCCTTGTATAACCAGTGTGAATTTAAAAAAAAATCCAAGAAGTTGGCAAGTTATTTCTTCTCTAAGAAAGTGATAACATTTAGCCGCAAGGTGTGTCTAGCCACTGCTGGGGCTAACACATGGACACACAGCCTCCGCGCTGCCAATAGAAAGGATTGCATTGTTGGAGCGCACTACTGCTCATTCAAGTGAGCCCACATGAAAGAAGGGGACGGAAGGCAGAATGACGAATGAATGTGTTGGTGCTTGTAGTTGACATGCCTGTGTGTCTGCTGCTGTGAGTCGCTCTGTTTGTGCGCACATGGCAGCGAGCTGTGTGTGTGTTTGCTTGTTTGTCACATGATGTCCTGTGGCAATCCCTAACTAACCGTACAGGCGCCAGTCTAAGGTGGGGGGGTGGGCTACGAGACGGGCATGAGAAAGAGGAGCTATGGAGCCGTGGAGGGGGGCACTCTGGCTGACTGTTGTCACATGATGGGCATATAATTAAGCCAAACTACATTCAAACTCTTGAATAACAGAGCAAATGACTCATGACCTGACTTAGCATTGTGTAAACATGGGTCTTGAGTTCAGACGGCGAGCTTCTGGTAGCTCAGAGACAAACTGAGTAAACAGTTAAAATAGACAGTTTAAATAAACAGTTTAAATAGACGCAGCCTTTGGACACACTTTCTACTCATATTCTTTGTTCCTCAAAGCCGACTGAAAGGCTTGCATACTCTGCCAACAGTACAGAGCTTATGAAATATAACAGAGGTATTAAAAATACTTCAGTGGGGCAGGGCATTTCATCACTATCAAATTAACAGGGTAACATAATGCCAGGGTAGTGTTTCTTAGCTAAATGTCTGGCTGGTCAGACTTCTACAGACAGTGGACAAAGGATGGACACAGCTCTTAGTGTCTGTGTGCTTCTTTATCACAGAGCTTTAGTGATGCTGTCAAATCCAATGCTCTCTCTCCATTAATCACTGGCCTGTATGTGGGCCGAGGTTGCATGTTGGATGGCACTGTGTGAGAGTGTGCATGTGGCCGAGGTGCTAGTGTTTACCCAGAGCATAAGCAGTGGTTGGCCGCAGGCCTTGAACGACTGGCCATGATCGGCCAGTGTGAAATGTGTCTGACAGAGGCAGCCGCTCGCCCCTTTGACTCTCGTTTGTGACTGTGTGTTTGTAAGCTGACTATTGTGTCTCAAAACCTAAGCCTTAATTTAGTTTAGTGTCTCTGATAAGTTATATTGTGGTACAATATAACTCCAACTAAAGTATCAGACTAAAATTATGTAGAAGTCCTCTCAGCCTCTTGCTGTCATTGCTAATGTTGGAGAATAGTTTTTTACAGTTTCTAATAATAATTTAATAAAACATTCTTACTGTGATTATTACTTAATACTACATCATGTATCAAAGAATCCATCGCACTGTTAGTATGACTCAGCTACAGAAAATGAATAAAGGGGTTTTCGTACATCTCTGTATTTTCAACAGGCCTCATCTGTCGGCCATTCTGTCCCATTTTGTTCCTGAGCTCTTGATCACCTCTCCTTCCCTCTGCACCACATTCCTCACAGTTTTGTCATTCTGCCAAAGACAAAAGTCCGAGCCTTCTCTCAGTCTCTGCACTTTTCACTTTGTTTCTCTGTTTTCAGGAGCCTTAGCATAAGTCTGACCCACAGTCTCTGCACACGTCTCTTTGACCTCCATGACCTATGACGTCATGCCTGGAGCATGACCTACAAGAAGGTGAGCTAGCTTATTTTCTAACTCCAGCACAACATTTTAAAATGTCTGTATTCTTTCTCTTCGCAGTTGACTATTGTCTAGATTCTTCTATTTCAGGAGGTCAGCATGGGTTCCTCTCAGACTTGGGCAATAATTCATGAGATTTGTGTTGGCGTAATCCAAGGTCAACACAAGGTAAGTGTTTGTAAATAATAGTAAAGTTGGTGGAAAAATTGTACCAAACATGTCATTAGCAAAGTGGTTGTTGCTATAATGCTGACAGGTGGTTTCTGCTTTATGTATGCGATTTATGAATATGCCTGACCATGAATGGTCATAGCTGGAAAAATTTAACTTCTTTAGTGGCATTGTAGCTGAGTGGCTAGCTCTCCAGCAAGAACATTCTGTATTTCCTCTGGGCACTCCAGTTTCCCACATAAACTAAAAACATGTATAATTGGTAGTTTTCTCTATCTTAGATAGTCCTGACCAAGCCTTACCCTAATTGTGACCTGTCTTTTAAGCTACCTACATGGCTTTGCCAATTACCCTGCAAGACACTTCACAACACCCTGTCATGATGCTTCTGACGAAAGCAACTGGAAGGAGTTGAAACATGTAAATTAGGTAAACAAACTCTCCTGTCTGACTGTTAAAAAACTATAGACAGAATTAACCTTTACCCAAAGAAAAATAACATGATAATATAATGGCTAATATGAAGATGGAAGCTAATGTGCTAATAAACTAATCTGCCGCGCCAGTTGTTACGCCTCTGAAACTATAGGTCCAATAATTGAATGAAGTTGTTAACATTATTGACTAGTAATTAATTTTTGTGTTATTTTTCTACTACAAGATGATCTCCAGTGAAGCATGTCAGTGGTGAAATGGTTTAATCAGACGAGTAAATGGGATAAATCTATCAGTCAATTTGGTCTTGCTGCCATTTTCACATGGATGATTACCCATGTTACCAGTTAGGCAGGGTGGATTAGCAGGATTAGATACTGTGTGTTTGTGTATGGGTGATGCAATTTAATAATGGCTTTGGAAGCTAAAAGTCAATCAGTGAGCCTAAATGTACAAAGAGAGGGGCAGAGTATAGCAGCCAACATGACCCAGTGGCCTCCGGGTTAGACATCACTAGGAATAATAAGACAACAGATTAACTATTTATTAACAGTTTAAAGTAGACATATTTTGCAAAAATGTTACAAAGCTATTAAAAATCAATGCAAAGACACAAGACCATTGACGGAGAATTAGTTCTGGACAGTTGAAAAAGAAGATTTTTTTTTCTATTGTTAAGTTATTTTAGATACATTTTATTTACAATAAGAAAAGGTAAAATAAGCCTATGTTTTCTTTAAAACCCCAATTTTGGTAGATGTATGTTATTTAAATACATTCTTTGTGTAATGCAATTTCTGTGGTCTGCACCCATCAGAGTATATTTTCCATTTTACATGCCATCTCAATGTCCAATAATAAGAGCAGATATTTTAACGATATACAAAACTATGTATTTGAGTGCCTTTAAAGGTCCTATATTATGCAAAAGCCACAATAGAATGTTATTATCTTCTCAAAAACATACCTGGAGTTGTGTTTTGTTTCATTGTTTCACACATGCTTGAGTAATCCTGCATTATTATTCTGTCTACATTTCCAAAGCTCAAAGTCCTCTTTTCCAAATTGTGATGTTATCAAGCAGTAGTTTTTATGTTAACTGCTACTTTTTATGAGTGCTACTTTTTTAAAGTAGAAACGGGCAGTTCCAGGTCTGAAATCATCCAAGTATTTCTAGAGAAGGTGCATGGAGTTTAAAAACACAGTGGACTCTTCATCACAACATGGAATAGAGTGTTTTCTGTTTGAGAAAAGAGTTTGTGTGTTAAACATGTGTGAATGAAACACAACACAACTCCAGGTATGTTTTTGATACCTGAGTTAAGCTCTATTGAATCCATATAATTTTGGGCCCAATATAGCCGTGCAGTGCTCTGTGGTGGACGTGTCTCTCTCCCTGCTCTTATCAGGCCAGATAGCTCTGTGATAGACACTCATACCCGCACTCTGAGGCCAAGCTCCCTGCAGCCTCAGATGGAGCCGATGGGCCTGCTATGACGACGGGGACCTTATCTGTCGTCATGGTGATGCTTTGATGTAATGATGGCAATCGTGTTTAGCCCATGTTTACATACAACGTGGCATGGCAGCCCAAATCTACCTCTGTGCTGGAATGTTCGCACCTCCAACAAGGGCATGAAATAATCAATTGGTGAACACTGAAAATAGCGCTGTACCCTAATTATTTATTTACGTAAAGCACAAGAAACTGGTCATACTCACGCTGTAACCACATCGAAGAGCTGATATATCTTGCTAGATTTTTTTGACTCATCGCGTGCTTACTGCGGTGTCTTTTCTTTCCGACAAATATGACAGATGCATATCAAGCGGTGCAGTCTGCTTAAGAGAGATAAGGGCTGGTTAGGTGCTGGGGTTGCAACATCCCACAGAGCCAATGAGTGAGCACAGCGCTTCTTCATAGCGATTCTCAGCAGATAGGCCTGCAGTGCATGTATGTGTGTGATGCCACTGATAATTTCTGACTCCACTCAGTTTTGCGAGCTACTATGAAATGACTACAGACAAGGATTTGTTTTACTAAACAGTTTAGGTTTATATTAGCATTTTTTTCAATTACAATAAAATTAAAATGCTTTCCGTAGCGATCTTATTGAGACTTTGTTATTCTACGCTGCAACAGAATACATGCACATGCAAAAACTAAAATCTTGCCAAGTTAAAATTACTTGAATTAAGAAAATGTTATCTTGATCTGAGTATATTTCAAATGACAAGTAAAATTATCTTCCAATGGAGCAAGACTTTTTGTACTTAAAATAGAAAAATAAATCTTGTTACGCAAAACATAAGAAAAATAACAACTTTTTGCACTTACAGTAAGAAACTAAATCTTACTTTGCTTGAATTGAAAAAAAAAAACTTGCATTGCATTGATAGATAATTGTACATGTCATGTCAAATCTACTGAAATCAAGTTAATTGCTCTTAATCTGAATTTACCCTGACATTACTTTTTGCAGTATATCTTGTAACTTTTTCATTTAAAACACAGAAATTCAGTAAATTGTACTCAAATAAAAGTATCGTGCAGAATCATATGTTTCTAAATAGATAAGAAGATGCTAAAATTGTGTGTGTGTCTTCTCATATTTATGTACTTTAGTGTAGTCAGTGAGCATATTGTTAACAGGCAGAGGAACTGCATTTTCTTCAAAGCACTAGAAAAATAAAACACTGACGCTACTCTTGAAATAAACAACTTCTGTAATTTCTTCCTTATCTACTGATCAGGCAGCTTCCCATAAAGCTATTCACTAACCACTGCTTTTCCCCTTAAAACTTTTTCATCTTTTTCATCTCTCACCAAGTGCCCCGGTGGTTGGTAATGCTCTAATTATATTAAACTTTTTCTAACCAAATCTCTCTGTGGCTCATCGATGACACATTGGCTCCTCTGTGTGAAGCTCTCTGTTTGTGTTTGCATATCTTCATTAACCTGACAAGGATTGTGTCAACAAAAGCAGAGACACAACAAAATCTCAGACCAAAGATAAACATGCTGAAAAAATGCTCTCCCTGTGTGTGCACGCTGGACAAGGTGTGGTGAGCTACATTTTAAGAAGCTTGATTGCAGCACAGGACACAACAATAAACGCAACTTGTCCCAGATATTTTAAAAAAAATATATGTAGTTATTCAGCTTGATCTGGAACATTTTTAATTTTTATTTCCTAGAGAATTGAATAGTCAGTTATTTACTATTTAAAGGTTTCTATTCACTTATTTATTTTTTACTAAATCAAAGCAGCATACAAAGCAGCAATAGTTGTTACAGATTCTTCTTAAAGGTGCAGCCTTTATTTTATTTTATTTTAGTATAGGCAGAGGACCCAAATCTTGAAGGAAGAGCGATGATTGAAATGGGTCTTTTGTTCTAGACCAAATTAGTAGTACTATAGGTAATATGAGGAGTCATCAGAAGCATACTTAAAATTGTGTTTTGTTTAATTCACACAAACCCGGCATGTATAGCCTGGAGTTCTTCTCACAGATGGAAAATGCTCTGTTTCACCTTGTGATGTCATGTAGTAATATAGGACATGCTCCACTCAACCCTTTCTAGAATAATTTGGGTGATTTCAGCTCTGGAATGGCCAATCTCTACTGAACAAAATATAAAAGGTAGCCATCACAAGGTGGAACAAAGCATTTTGAGCTTTGCATATGTAGTGGCTAGCCGCCATGTTCCAAATAGGAAGTGTTCATGGTGGTGCTTCCAGCTCCATCAAGTTTTGTTTCCAATTTACTTTATATTGGAAAATTGTCACCCCTCTGTCTGGAACTGCTGCAGTGAGCCTCATCATTTTGGTTTTAAACTGTTCCCTTAAAATGGACCTGGCTCTCCTGTAACTGCTAGCATCGCGAGCTTCATTTAACTGGAGCCGAATGCTAAGGTTGATGTCACACTCCTTTAGTCCACTTCTTTATACTGTCTACACTCTGAATGCACCATGTGTTGTCTCTGCAGACATCTCTTGTATTCCATCCTGTCCCATTGGCTGTCTGGTCATCTGTCCCAGTGGGAGTGCCCAGAGCATCCATCCGTCCAGGGGGTAGGCACCTGGACCCATCCTCTCCGTCCTGGCTGCACTCCAGAATATTCTCGACTCCGGTTACCTGCTGCAGAAAGCAAATGAGGCGAAAGAGGAGACTGCGCAGTATTGTCCCTCTGTGGATAAGGATGGCAGCTCCAGACGCCCTCTCCCCTGAGCCTGTAGCACTGTACTTGCCCCCCGTTGGTCAATGGCCGACTGAGGGATGAATGGGAGGCTTGTTCTGGGACAGCGTGGATGAATTTGTCTGTCGGAGCAGGACCTGAACACTACCTGTCCCATATGAGCCTCCTGAATGCTCTCTGTCCCCAGTGGGAGGAGGGCGACCTCATTTTCAGGGTGAGAGACGGACCAGTGTCCACGCCCTGCTCCTGTCAGACGCTTTTACAAATGCAGGTACTTGGACAAAATGGGACAAAATGAAGAAGAATAGAAAAATGAGCAGATGACAGATCACATGATGACTGCTTTCTTTAAGCAGTAATTGTTGATGAAACAGAAATTCTGGCCATGCATGAGACAGTGGAGCAGAACAATTATTGTCTCAGAGTTGTATTTTATTAACTATACATTTCTATTATTAAAATAAACTAACTACTAGTACCACCTCAAATCATTTATGATTAAGTTTGAAGCCTTTCCACATTTGCCTCTATCGTTCAGCAATTTCAACAAACTACAAATTTGATTAATGTTATTTGCTTGATATACACTCTGTATTTATAAAATGAATATGAATATTTTTGCTAAAACATGAGAGCTTAGTGTTAAAATTGCTGAGCCAGTTCCACAGTGCAGTGCCCATTTGCAGATATAAGCCAAGTGCTGCCCGAAGAGCAGTGAATTACACATAAACACTTAAAGACTGTAGTGCATAATCAATCTCTTTTTACTGTCTGCCTTTGGTCTTAATTGATCCTAATAGCACAACCAAAGTATTTCTGGTTGGAACTTCCGACTTCCTGCGTTGCTTTTTTCACTGCTTTGAAAAAGTGTCTGAAGTTGAGTGAGCAGCTGCAGCCTTCCTGTACACAGGCATGAAAAACAGATGAGTTTTTGACTCATTTGTGGAGATTGTGTGTGCAATTTGCCACTGTGGCAGGTTGGGTTGTCAGCAGAGGTCATCTCTGATTATCAGTTGTCGCTTTAGTTGACAGATTTGACACATTAAAGATCTACCTACACATATTACACAGAGACATGCAGTGAACACAGGAGTAACTCAAAAGTGTCATTGTGATCTAGATTTCACCTACCGTTATTTGAAAGATCAAAGTACTTCCAAGAATGTTTCTTCATTCAGAAACGAGGAAGTTTATATGGTGACTAAATACTGATGCTACTAGAGCAAATTGTTGTATTATTACTTCATAGTATCTCATTGTAGCGTATCATTCAATATGATCCTTGCCTATGTAACATATAACATAAAAGTTGTCTGACATTGTAATTGCCAGATAGCCCTAAAATGTGTAGTTATTCCAGATTAAAAAACATACACAAAAAAGTATTTAGAAAAAAATTTTGAAATTATAACTACAGTAACTGTAATTATTAACTTTTTTTTGCTCTGAGGGATCAAAGCCTTTTTGATTTTGATACATGTATATGCATTTTAGTTCAACCCAAAAGCTCTTTATTGAAGTATATATTTCCTCACCATAAGGAAAAATGTATGCATATTCTGTCCTGTCTAGCTCTAATATCCTTCTAAGTAAGGAGGGAGGCTTTTTAAGTTAGGCTCAAGCAAAGGTCAACCCCCCAGCCCTCTTCTTGCAATGCACACAAGACGAGACCTGTGCCTGAACCACACTTCACTTCCTTTAATCTCCAGCATCTCTCTCCCCCCAAGTCAACTTTTGTGAGGGGATGGTCAGGATACCTTTTGATTTGGCTAATTCAATTTGATGGAAAAACAAATACAAATGGGGAGTAGAAGACAAGAAGTGGGAGTACAAGGCGGAATGGAAGACCAAAAAGGGATCGAACAAGCGGAAGAGCGTGGGCCAGATAGGGAGTCGAGGGGACCTGCAAACTGCCCATCCCAGGTTGAAGTCGTAAAGTACTCTGATGTAGGTGGTCACAGTGTTCACTCCTGCAAAAATGCCCTGCCCATCTCGCATCCATGTTAGTACAGAGAGATTCATGAATCATACATTTGACCCATACTATTTATATATTTAAAAGGGTTGTATTTTTAGGTTTAGTTGTGCTCAGTTCATTTTTTTTTTTTTTTTTCAAATATTCATCATCCCCTCATCAGCTTACCCCTCACACTTTTTTGCAGGTTCTCCTTGAGGTAAACTTTTGTCCGAGCAACGGTAGGAAACTAGCAAAGCAAAATGGTGTTTTTAATGGTTTCCTCTGATGTTAACTTGGTAGTGAATTTGTCATAGTTGCAGGTCAACATGCCAATTACTTTTTTAATTTTATTTCTATTTTATGTTGTCCATTGCTCACACGTTATAGTGATTTATTGATCAAATATTAATATCTTTGCATAATATAGTATAATTGGTGACTACAAAATATTGTATATTTTATTCAACAGCTCTGTTTTTAATGAAAGAAAGGTTTATATAACAATCTGTTCTTTTTCCTTTTTTTTTTCAGGGGTCATTGCCAGAGCTTATTCAGGTCCTTTTCATACAGATGCCCTTCCTGATGAAATCGCCACGCAGTTTTTCCACCCGCCCAAACTGAGACTGGGGTTTGGCTCCATGTCAGAGATTTGAACCCCTGACCTCCTGGCTCAACACCTAATTTCACTTATATAAAAACTGTAAGGTATGTTAATTACCCACCTTGCTCTTAGCAAAGTCTTAATATTTCAAGAAATAGTACAAATGTGTATTCAAAAACACTGCTCTGAGAGTTAGTGGTCTGGCAGGCTGCAGGATTATTTTTAGAGGAGCTGCTAGTTCCCTGTGGAGGGCCTCACTGTAGAGTGCTGGCTCTCTGTGTCTCCTCTCAGGCCCTGGGAGTCCGGCCAAGCAGCCGCCAGCAGCAGTCGGCCAGCCACCGCGCACCAAGCGGGCACCCACAGACACACACACTACACCACAACAGTTCAATACATACACAGGTCCTGCACCACAACAGTTCAACACACACATAGTACACCACAACATTTTAATACACACACGTACTAAACCACAACAGTTAAGCACACACATGCTGCAACACAACAGTTTAATACACACACACACAAATACACACACAAACACTACACTGCAACAGTTTAATACACACACACACACATTACACTGCAACAGTTTAATACACACACACTACAGTGCAACAGTTTAATAAACACACGCACACACACACACAGTGTCACTGCTAACTACCTATAGGGTCCAGCTTGACATTTTCACTGGTGCTCTGCTCAGAAAGGGGATCAGGGACACACTTTAACCTGCAGCACCAATGTCGTCTGTGAAGGCTCGCTGTTCTGAATAATACCACAGTCTTTTTGTGAATCTCTGAATAAATCAGTTTTAATTGAACTTGAGACACACATGTGAGCAGAGCTTTTTGATTCTGTAATGGGACAGTCCTGGAGGCATTTTAGGGCGTGCTGAACTCAGGAAAGATAACCCCAATTTGCCCCTAATAGGAGCCAACTCATTAGTCCTGGCTCTGTTTCTGTAGACTCTTTATTTTACTGTAATCGCCCAAATGGGAGTGGGAACCAAAAACAAATAATTAATCTGAAAGTGCATAAAAACCCCAGAAGCAGCAGATGAGAGAGGGCCGGAGTGGACGGCTGTTTCCTGGCTCTCTCAGCTGCATGTACATCTGCAGTCCAACACACACACACACACACTCCGCCTCATGTGTGTATTTGGTCTCTTGATTGCCTTTCCTTCCTCTTTCTCTCTCCCACTAAAGACCTGCTGTCCTTCCTTCGACTCCGGGTGCCTCAACTTGCTCAGACTTTGTCCACAAAGTCACAAATGCAGCGTCATCTTTGTCTCATAAAAACATAAAATTACTATGGGAAAAGTATTTTTGCATTTGCGATATAGTCGAGTCCACTATCTATCTAAAAAATATTCTTGCCGCTAATACACGTCAGTGAAAATTTGTTCATTGGGTTTAGAATAAAATACATCCCTAATTATAATTTAACATAATCATGAATGTCATGGGTGAGTTGTTTTTACTTTGCACTTAGGGGGAGATTTTTAGTTTTATTGCAACATGTACTTTCATTTTGAAAAGTTTTGAAGTTTAGAAAAATTTGGAAATATCATTCCTGGTGTGGTCAAATTTGTATAACTTCAATTTATTTGATGACAACCTAAGCATCGTTCCCACTGCTCATAGAACTTCCTAGCACATACAATACAGCACTCACATGGTAAATGGCAAGTGTTTTTTTATATAGTTCTCATATCTGGTTGATTCACATAATTATTGCATCTCTTGATGTACTATTGAAAATGTGGTGCGTTTAATAATAAATAATGTTGAGAATTATGTTTTGTTTTTGAGCATAGAGCATGTGGGTATGTGCATATGTTTGACTGTGTATAAGCCCTGAGCTGGAGTCTGCTGTCTGGGTACAATGGTCCAGCCCCAGGCCTCGATTCCACAAAGAGGCCTTCTCTGAGGACTGCAGCATCACAGATAGAGGAGGAGTCTGACCAACGCATTACCACGCTTAAACCATCACAGAGCTTTCCTTCATCCATCTGATATTACATATGATTTTAATAATGAAACCGTCATCATTAAAGTGCATATGACAGGTTAGACTACTCTTTTCACTAAAACATAATTATATTTACTACGATTTTATTTTTTTTAATGCATGTGGAGTTTATAATTGTACTTCCTGGTTGGACATGGACAGCAGATGACATGTGTAAAGGTAATTCCATAATGTTAACAAGTGATAAAAACTTTCTAATTTAGACAATGGTTATGATTAGACTAATACAAATAAATACATAAATAAATACACCCTGAAAGTTTGAACAGCCAGAAAACTGTCTTTCATGCACATAAATTATCCCTGCCGCTTTTGGATAGAAATATTGGTGTTGATAACATAGGTAGAAGTATTCTGTGAACTCAGCAGTACTTCCTGTATTTTTGTACTTTTCTTCTCAACTTTTTTCACACAAACTGCCACTTAACTGATCTAAAAATATGATAAATATTTA